CTGTCAAAATCCGCTTGCAACAAAAGGCTCTGTTTGCAACATTAAGCATTGCAATTAAGATTGGTTCTTAGACAAAGAAATTTAGCTTATGAGTGTGCTTTGTTGCCATAAAAAAGGAAAGGATGTGGACTTAAATAATGATAACAAAGAAAAACGCATGAGACAATGAATTTGAGGAATGTAAAATTGGTTAAATGATTCATGACATTGTTACAATTTGTGTGATTGATTTGTACATTGGTTTATTTAATTATTTCACTTCATTTGGAGCTTCGCGATATTCGAAGTTCGCGACAAGGAATGAGTTGAAAAAGGAAGCGAGAAATAAATTTGAAAAATCTTTGTTATAATTTCTGGGACGGCACGGAATTTTAATGATAAGCTTTTTTAAGAGCCATTTTTGATTAGAAGTTTCACTTCACTTTTTGAGAAATAAGACAAAGCATTCTGCTTTACAGGCGTCGGAAAGTAATAAAACCGGGATGAAATGAGCATTTCATGAATTAAAAATCTTTCTTTTATGCCTCAGGTGTGCCATTTAAAAACATCCTTGAATTTGAATATTACTTTTTGAAAATAATTGTAAATGAAAGGTGGGTGAAGAAAACATTGTTAGGCAGGTAACAGTTGTGGGGAAGAGAGGAAAGGTAAGATCATAAAGCACTTCAATTCAAAGTTATTTTACAACTGCAAAAACAGTGCTCGATAGTGACCAAAAATGTGGTCGATAGTAAGCAAAAAATCTATGTCTTGTAAAACGAAACGTCATAATTAAACATGTCACCTCGAGGAAAATGTGAGAAAAGGTAAAACAAATATATGTATTACATCTAAATACAATTGTATAATTGTCCTGAAGACCCATCTAATACTTTTAAAAATCTCCAAATTGAAATTTTAAAAATTTGTCCGCAAAGAAATTCCGAAAAGTAATACATATTTTGAAGTAATAAAATCATTAGCAACATTACAAAACTGACAATGAAGCAGTAAATGATAATAGCGAGTAAAATGGTGGGACCTAAGATGGTATTGCCATTGGAACAAGAGCCTAGTAAAATGACAACTACGTATGAGTCACCTGAAAATAGAAATGGAAATTTTCATGTTCAGCAAAGGGTATATATATTTGCATTACTTGCAGCTTTAATGGCTCATTGAGTAAGCTATTATGCAGGTAATGTGCATGCACTAGAAAAAATAAATCTTTCAGGCATTTTAAGATTGATCCACCGGTCGCTTCTCGTCTATGTTATCCTACTCCAATTAATACTAATTAAAAAAGAGAATACGTAAGTGACTGAGAGGTTTCAACCTTGTTCTACATAAAAAATTATAATAAATTCAAGTGCTTCAAGTGTGAAACGTTAGAAATTTCTCATTTATCAGCTCTCTTCATCAGATATAAAACTTAAGCAACATTTTCATTTTTGAAGATGAACAGAAATAAACCAGCTATCGAAAAAAGAATCATTGTATATGTAATATGCATATTTCAGAAGTAGCTAAAAATGCAGGAAATCAAACGGAAGAATTCAAGTGAAGAAGATTCGTTCTCGAAAAGAATGATGGAGAAAATTGGGGAAGCAGTATCGAGAAATTCACAGCAGTCATATGAGGGACTAGCAAGATATAAAGAAAAAAATAGCCAGGCTACTGAGCAGCAACATGCCGTTAATCAGGTACTCGAACTTTAGACAATTTCAGCAAAGTGGTAAATACATGTCTCGGAGGTATAATCAGAAGATACCAGAGATCTGAAAATTTTTCTCTGCGAAGAAAATTTTATTACGATTCATTTCTAAACAGTTACTATGGCTTTTATTCCAATACCATAGTACGACCGCTCATTATTTAATAATTTATTAACATATTTTTGCTTTAATCAATAACTATAAATTGATATGGATCGATGGGAAGGAAGTTGGAAGAGAAATGACTTTCAGTTGGTCCTCTTCAGCTGTCTCATGCAATGTGCTTCTAACAATTTCTACCATGGTCCTTACTCATATTTCTTCAGAATTCGAAACAATTGGCGAAAGAGCTGATAGAGAGGCTTGATGTGGTTAACTTTGCAGATGATTTGTTTCACAAAGAGCTTTGTCTTCCAAAGAAATATTGGAATTTATGGAGCCAAATTAAACGGGTTTGATCTTTGATGTTTGGATATTTGATACAAATTGAATTTGATTTGATGCTTCCCCTTTTTACTCCCATTCAACGAATAATCCATTTTCAAATGTTTCTATCCAGCATCTATTCATGAATTAATTGAACGATGAGATTAGTCTATAAAATGTCCTATTCTTTTGATTTTGGATTGATATGTAAATGTTATGATTTGTTTAAAAAGTGGACTGAGAGGAAATATATCCTTGCAAGGTCATGCAGATTAAGGGAATGAATTAATTCGAGATTTAACTAACAGGAGAGAGGGGCCCAACTTAACTGGATTAAGTGTGACCAAATAGTAGCCCTACCTTATCCAATCCTGTCATATAATTAAAAAATTACCAAGTAGACATTGTGTGAGTACTATTGAGTAATAATTTACCTCTCAAATAATGAGAAGAACTAACTATTCAGAATTTCTTAAATTGAAAAATTCAAACTGCCAACAGTTCCAAGGATTAAGGAAGAGTTTTTGAATTTTGACTTTTTTCGTTATAGTTGAAGAAATTATAAATTGATAAATCATTGACGAGTATTTTACATAATTTCCCAGAAACGTATTTCCTAGATCTAGCAACCAAAGCTACAAATCGATCAATCGAGACTTGTTGGAGAATTTTATAACCGAGATGACAAAGGCGACTGGCGTATTATCGGAATGCGCCCGATACGTAGTAATTTGGTCACTATTGAGTATGACGTTATACGTTTGTGTAAAGCAAACGCATCGTTTCCTGAAGTAAATGTTTTGCTCATTCGTTCGATTTGCTCTTCCAGTTATTGAAAAGAACTGTCGTTGCCAAAGTATTTCAGTTTAAGGTAATGAAGAAGGAAAAAAATGATTATGTAATGAAATTATGTAATTCGGACAACTTCAAGAACCATGCACTTTTCATGCAACAGTACAAATTGCTTCTTCTTCTCAAAAGGCGCCACCAAAATTACCGGTACTTTTATTTCTCTAAAAAATCTTACCTTTCATTTTATTTCCTTCTGATCATTGAAATCTGCAAATGAAATAATATTGAATTGATTAATTTTTGCAAGAAATATAATTCTCCTGGTTATTTAAAATTTTTGCATGCATCCTCATATGTAAGCCCTCTACTTTTCATTCCGTCCTAAGCTTGAAATTTAATTTTCAGACAACGAAAGCATTTCCCAGCTGTGTTTGGATGTGGCGCATTTGAAGAACTTTGCTATAAGGAGGTCAGCTTTATAGATAGATCGGTTCCATGAAGACTTTTCTGCGAGTTTCTGAAATTCAATGTTACAAGCAGATTAATATTGAAGAAATTTTTCCTGAGATAATCTATTTTAGTCAAACTTATCAAGCATACATTATCCCCTACTTCAATACCTATGACATTTGACATTGAAAAATCCAAAATACCAATAGAAAAAAATTTGTATTTCATCTTTCAGAAGTTATCTGTGAGCGATATGATACCGAAGTTACTTATTTACTACCCATATCCAAATCCAAGACCATATTTCCTGCAGGAAAAAATCCAGCCAACATTAGAAGAAGTTTTCCGAATGACACAGTTCGGTGTCTTAAATATTGGGACGGCACGAGATGTAATTATCGGTTGCATTAAAGTTAGTCTTTATTCAATAAATTATGATAGATAATAAATAATTTGAAGTTCCAAGGATAGTCACTTTTTGTTTTCTAATGTTCATTAGCTTGAAAGATGAAATCCATTTTAGGCTGATTAAGTCTACTTTACACTTAGTAAATGGATGCCAGACTCAAAATCCTTACCCACTGCATGATTGATCCTTATAAATGGCTTTTTTGACCCTTTCAGGCTTTACGATTAATACATCAGATAGGTTATGTGCACCGTTCAGTTGCTCCATATAATTTTGCAATCCGTCTGGAAGCCTTTTCAAAAATGATTCTTCAAAATGATCTCTGTGAGCAGATATGTCTTATTGACTTGACCTTTGCCCGAAAGTACAAGGATATGGGTAGACCACCACGAAGAGTGGCTGCTTTTACAGGCACTTATAAATATTGGTTAATTTTGATTTATAATAAGCTTTTGGATCATTTATTATCCTAGAAAAGCTTTCAAAACTTACAAATTAGCAGACAATGCCATTTCTAAAATCGAAGTATATATCTTTCCGGAAATTTTAACAGAATATTGCATCCATCTGCTTGCTGAGTGGAACTACTCTGAAGTGATGTAATGTTGATTGATTGAACGCCGAAACTTATTTGTCCACTAGTTTGTTTAATTAAATCCCGTTAATGAACGGCTGACCAAATTGCAGTTCGGTATCCGCACACAGTCATTTGGAACAATTCCCGAAAGATGACATAATCTCTTGCCTTTACATGTTTTGCGAATTTTTGCAAGGTTATTTGCCATGGAGAAGACTAAAAAATGTCAAGGTTATCGTTTTCATAACTTTTTTCGAGAAGAAATGGAACTGTACGCATGTCTTTCCGTTTGTCAACATCTTCCATCCCTTCAAATCCACATCCAATGTGAATAAATCTGTATCCAATACCTCAATCATTTCTTCATCAACACAATTTTTATCATTTTTCTCCTTTTAGACCTGGCAAATGTGATCAAAATGCCATAGAAATTAATAGGTTTTTCATAAAAAGCTTTTTATAGAATGAGGTGTTTTGAATCTGTTATAACATTTTGTAGGAAATAGTGGCGCTGAAACGTGAACTACAGATAAAGCCGCCAGTGTTTATGAATGACACTGGTGTCAATAGGATTGTAATCGATCTCAGCCAGCTGCGTGGGATATTCACACTACTTGAGGAAATCAAATCTTAGTAAATTTTATTCAAGATAGCAATGACCGGTAAATATACTTAATTGTTTATAATGCTTCTCTTTTGGATTTATAAGATAAATCCTGCGATTTTTGGCAAAAACCCAGTCATTTTAGCAAATTGTATGTCTTTTCTGCTTCTGAAAGTACTGTATGTTTATCCCAAATAATCTATCTATCTACACTTTAACAAATCTATCATTGCATACCCAACATTGTCTTATTTGTAATTTTAAGAGTTTACAGCAGAACAGCACAATCGTTCCGTGGTACAAATGTTTTTTTTTTTTTACACATATGCCTTCCCCCCATTGCATTTCCTACTTTTTTTCAAATCTAAGTACACTGACAATCTCCAGATTTCCCTCATTGTAATTTATCCCAGAAGAAAAAACTTTATTTTGTGACGTTATATTTTAGTGGTCGGGGATTGCCGTATCTGATGATATATAAAATGCTGAATGCAATCGCATATCAGCACCGTACTCTCAACGAAGGACCATGTGAGCTATTTGGCATTTTCAAGTATGCCTTTGTTTTTCAGAAACTATTATTAGTAATGGTATAATTAGACGTTTAGTTCTCATATCTAAACTTTATATTTTATACTGAGTGATGAATAATGAACAGTGGACAGTTTCATTCTAATTCTCGGCACAATCTAATAATTCCTTTTCTAATTAGGTATTTCTGATTGTCGAAGTAATCGCAGTTTGGTTGCTGTTTTCTTGGATGTCATCTTCAACACTGTTTATTTTTTCAAGCAAATAAATTAATTAATCTGCAAATACGGGATGACCTAATTGGTTCTCGTTACTAATAGTTTGTTTTCAAGTTGGGTAAAAGAAATTCTTACCGTATCTTGAAAGAGTTTTATGCAACTAATTTACTCCCTTATTTCTTGCATACTTACTCTTAAGCGAAAAAGACATTCCCGAAACATTTCTTACTTCTTCGGCCATCGCTAATGTTTTTTTTATGTTCTGTCCGTTTTTGCAAATGCTTCGCTTCTGAAAATATTACAACAAAATCCGCATTAGTTTATTCCAAACAAATTAGTAAATTGCAAAATCTCTATGACAATTATTTTGACTTGTTTTTTTTTAAACGAAGTTTTTTAGTTGAAATGACTTCTCAACAGAGAACGGTATAAGGAAGCGGAAATTTTCAAAGCTTAAATTTCTCACTTCTGAAAATTTGCAGGGAAGTGCAAAAACGATTTTCGAAAGCTGTGGAAAGACACAATCGTGAAATATTAGTTTCGAAACAAATATCAAAAAAGCATTCTTGATTTCTGCTGACTTTATCGTTTTCTTTGTGAAGATAGAAACAAATAAACGATCTTCTCATATACTTATTACTGCCAAAAATGCATTCAGTGAAATAATTACCTCCCAGTAAAAATAAAACATAATGGACTACGTGTTTTTTATAATTATGAAAGGAAGTGAAGAATTTTGAGACTATAAATTTGAACAAAAAATGTAAGAATCTACCTCTTGAAAACATATAAAGTAACTGTATTTGAAATATCGTATGATTAGGGTTACTAGACTTGTCTCATATATGAGTAATTGCTGACTGAAATAGAAACTTTATTTAAAATCTAACATTTGAAAAGTTGATGCGAGTGGGAAAATCCCTTCTATATAAGACACAATACGAAGATACGGTATAACTAGTCTAGCCAGCTGAGTAGTGGAATAAAATCTGTCATTTCAGATGTTAATATTTGTATGAACCGATCTTTTAAGGGATCATATTGTAAGTAATCGCATTTGTTATCGAACAGTGATAATGAACAGTATCACCTTGTGTTCAAGTTTGTGGAATTCCCTCCCCCCCCTCCTCCTATCCCCCTCCTCCGAAGGGATTGAGAAAAATGGTAATTAGCCAGTTTGTACCGTGCTTCCTCTGTGTTGTTTACTCTTCTAACATACTGACATACTAATAGGATGTCTACAGTAAAAACAGGGTTAATTTGTTCCGGAGACTTGTTCCGGGATTATCTTTCCTAATGAATTAAAATAAACGACATGAAATCTTGTACAGAAATTTTAGCTACCAGGTAAGGTCTTCGAATGACAACAACCTTTCTCCAAAGAACGTACATCCTTTTCATTCATCGTTCATTTGTTATTTTAGTTCTCAGTTCTCTCATTTTGCATATTTCATTTTTAAGGTAAACCATTTTTACGATATAATTGACTTTTGATTATTATACGCTGGACCGCAATGACTAAGGATGGCTGTAATGTAGCTTTACAGGAGGGAGAGACCGGATTGATGATTATTAGTGCAGTTATTGAGGGTGCTGATACGTAATAAATACATTAAGAAAAGCGATCACTCACATAATCTTTTACTTTATGCATGGTTAATTCATAACCTGATCCATTCCTGCAGCTGGTTAAGATACCAACGATGTTTGCCACTGCCTTACAAAATACGAATGTAATTAAATAAGCATCCACTTTAAAGCTATCCTGGCCATTGGAGGCATTAAAAATTTGATTTCGTCACTATCAGAAGAACATTCGAAACAAGATAATTATTAGAGAATGCTTCTGTAAAAAGTATCCCTTTCTCTCATCAGCTAGAAATTGTAACTGAATAGGAGTTGTTCTTTTTCTTTCGTAGAAATATGAGCAAGTCGATCGGCCACACTTTAATTTATTCATTTGAGAATATTTCTAAAAAGATGGACAAGAAGAGTTTCCATCATTCAAGAAATAATTGTTGCATTATAGATCAATCTACGTGAAGAAGGAGAAAAAGCAAGAACTACAAGAAGTCTCTCTTTCTCTCATACAATTGTACTTCTTACTTATAATCAAATTGAATAAAAGTTTGAGCTATACCTTAAGTTCTCTTTATACAGGAATTCAAGATTTGATAATAGCACGATTTTTCCTCGGAAACAGCCCTTTATGAACAATAAAAGAAACCACACAATCTAATCCTCTTAAACCTTTCCTATGTTTGTTCGTATGAACCAAAATTTGGTTAGTTACCCACATGGCTTAAAGATGATTTTAAGGCTTTTGCTATGCTTTTTGGTTTTTTGACGTATGGTTTTTTTTTTCTGTAAAATCTCCTGCTTTTTTTGTCAAATAACAGCACTTATTATCAAATAATGTTAATTATGAATAGTCCAAATGCCTCAAAGAATTAGAATTATTAACAAATCATGTCGCTAACCTAATATCAAAATTAACGGAATTTGTTAACTAAAAATCATTTATTCCTATTATTTTGAAGATCAACAATTTCAAGATCAGAATTCGCATTCCTAACAGAGTAAGGGATAAGATTAAAGTTGCTTGCAATCATTTATGAATAAATTTGTGAACTAGTGATTTTTTTCCAGCAAATTCTATCGAGCCAAACTGATTACTTATGTGGAAACGAGCACTTACACTGAAGAAATAGGAGATTCGTTAAAATTTCAAAGAGATTGGGAGTAACAGAAAGTGCGAGTTTACGTAATGCAAATTTTATGAAAGCTGGCGAAAAAAATGATAAGAGTGGCTTCGAAACTCACTTATGCCTTGTAGCTAATTTTTATGCCTTGTAGCTAATTTTCAATGAAAATTTACATCAACAGGGTCAGTTCTTCGCAATGTAAGAGCATATTCACATTTGATTTCCCTTTTGTCAAATAAAATTGTGAAATGCTGGGAAACAGAAATTGCACTGTAGGGTTGTGAACATTGATTGAGCAGTAGCGCAGAGAGACGTCAGTAATCTTACAGCTAGGCCATGCTAACTATTTGGTCATATGTCTGTCTGTTCCTCGAAGTTTTCCTGTGTTTTGCAGTAGAACGGGGTTGTATGGGAAGTGTGCAATAAGAAGTATCATTATGAAGATTTCGAGAAGACATTGCAGAGACGCATTACTCATCTTTCTTCATGATGCGATTGTTTCAAGTGGAGGGCTTTCCTGATCTAGACCAACTTTTTGTCTTTCTGGTCCGGTACTTGTGTCATGTAGTTTCTTTTCCCTCTCTAACATACGTTTAGAACGAAATAACAGTCGAAGGAGAACGTCCGATTTGAATCAAACGTAACATCACTTCGGGTTCCGTAGTCGTTCCTGTACTATTTGTCAGTATCAAGACATCCTCCCTTTACTTTTCTTATCTTTCAGTGCAACATTTAGTTGCTGTTAAGTGAAATGGCGTTTGTTATATGAGTGATAATTTAGAATATGATCCGCTTAAATCCATTCAGTCATAGTTTTTCTGTCTTTTTCTGTAGTTTAATTCAATGGGATACGATGAGAGAGAGAGCTAAATAAGGTGTCGTGAGCAGAATGACAAAGGCATGCTATGATAAGTAATTGAGAACTGTCCTGGTAATGAGTAAAAACAACTATTATAATTTTTGTTGGTTTCTTCAAACGGGTTGATTTTTTGCTTTGCTAATTGCAAGAGACAACATGACATGAATCCATCATTAACTTGTTTGGAAAATTGTACCATAGATTGTATTTCAGAAGTGTTCGCAGTTTAACGGAAAAGGATGAAACGTTCTGGGGGGGACAGGTTTGGAAGTGGAAGTAAACGGACACGAATGGATAGCTATGAGGAAGCCCTAGCGAACGGTAAATATGAACTACGCTTAGTGGTGACGAGTCGAGGTGCTGGTGGTATCATAGGCCGAGGAGGCGAGAATATCAAACGCCTCCGTTCTGAGGTACTGCCGTTTGGCTAACCTCCGTAGCATTTCAGTGCATACTTTGTAGTTCTCTTTTTCGACGTTCTGTAATTTATATTATTGAGAGCGCTGACCGAAACTCATTTGCCTAACAAATAATATCAGCGCATTCTCTCTAAGTTGACTTTTTATTGTCTTATAATGTTCAGCAAGTTATACATTCTTTGCATGTAGTTTTTCTTAGCAATGATTTTGAACTTCGATAATGCGCCTCATTACTTCACCCTTTATGACCGGAAAAATTTGCTTGCGAGAATAAAGTCCTTGATTTTAGAAAGCGGACTTTTTTAAGTGATCCACATTTACTTGATCAAAGACTTCGATGATCTGCAGCTGGCTTTAACTGTTAAGCAAATGCGTTTTCGATCAGAGCTTATCCAGGGTCTTGTCCTTCCTCATCCTTGATGGCTAAGATTTGCTTGTAGATGCAAAGCTCTTGCTTTCAGGAACTTCAGAAGAGTTCATAAAATTGTTAATTCACTTTTATATGTAACGGCCTTAACCTTTTGTTGTTTGGCGGACTGAGCAACATGAAATACGAAATTGTGAACACAGCCCAAACTAATGCTCATTTGCAGTTCGATGCGAACCTGACCGTCCCAGATAGCCAGACGCCCGAACGGTAATTTATCCTGGAAATACTTGTTGCCCTCACTACTGATTACTCGTTGGGCCACGACCGTTATTGCCACCGGGCTTCCACACGATGGATAAACCTACAGCTTTAACAGGCTGACCTTGAATTACCTTCCACATTTCTTTCACAAACCTACTGCTACAAAATAGGTGACATGCCTGCCTGCCTTCACCTGCTTAATTGTTTAGAAACGTGGCTGACTTTCGATACAGTTAAAAATTTTAATAGCTTTTAGCTAAAGCATCGGAGAGCAGGAAATGTGTTTTCCAAAATTTGAAAAACAATTTTTAACTTCACTTTTGATATTTTGAAATGTGCTGTGAAGACAAATCATTTAGTTTTTTCTTCAAAATAAATTGATATGAAATTTGGTGCGGACATAATATGCTAAGATCATCATGTTTAACTGAGACAACAAAGAGCAGGAGGGGCATGTTTCCCAATTTTTTTAGCAGAGGAGGCCGTTTTTTTAAAGATTTTCAGTAACATGAAATTTGGTCCAGAGCACATTGTTTTTCGATTTGGAGATACCTTGCAGTACTGTAAGGTGAAACGAAGGATTTTGATTATAAATTTGCTCCAAACAGTGCACTACTTTTTTTTTTCTACAGTGTTGGCTTCAGATTATAATTTGGTTGCTGGGCAATAACTTTGAACATTTTTCTGTTTTTAAAACTAAATCTGTGAAATTTGCATGACTTTTCCGTCATATCCAAGCAGTATATTCCTTGGAATTTCTTCTTTTTTTTTTGCTGGAACTATATCTTAATCCTGTTCAGGGTACTGACACTGACTGCTACAACGGAAAACATCTCAAATTGCTTGCGTGAAATTATACCACGTCTCGATGAAGTAAGTGCAGCTTTGCAGTTTTTGGTGGTTTAAAAACAGTTTGTACCAAAAATTTCTAAATGTGTTGGTCACTAACAATTGTGAGTCGCGGTTAAAAGGTATTTGAGCTGAGACTTAGTGCTTTTTAATGGGTTCCAGCTCACTGATTTCTATGCATAAAACTTGAGGCACTTTCGATTTTTCTTCTACATGCTGTAGTGAGAAATAATGATGGCGATAATTTTCAGAATCGCGAGGATGATCATGATCGACGAGGGAAGAAGGCGGACAGACCGGATAGTGAAATGAAAGTTTTGGTGCATGAATCTCACGCTGGCGCTGTTATTGGCCGTGGTGGGTCACGAATAAAAGAACTTCGCGAAAAAACTGGAGCACAACTCAAGGTCCTATTACTCGTTTTCAGTTTTATGACGCATGCGTAACTCGAGCACATTCATGCTATGGGTCCACTGACAAATATGAAACTTATTGCGAAGGTGACTTGCATTTCTCCATAAAAAACATTTTTGTTTTTGCAGTGTGGCATCAAATTTTGAGGTCATAGACTTAGAACTTTTTATTTGTGTTCATATCAGGAGTAATAGATCAGTGTTTCTTTCCATACTTGTTCAGTCATCTACCTGATTTTGTAAAGTCCTCCTGGTCATATTATATATATTATTTATTCTCATTCCCATTTATTATTCTCGAGTTATCAATTGGTGCATCTGAATATTTTTGTAGTACCACTAAAAAACATGTTCTTTATTAAATAGAAGTAAGGATATAGTGAAAAAAAGGGCAGAATTTCCGAATATGAGAGAAATTGCAAAAACGGGTTCCACAACATTTTATCGTTAAAGCATTAACAGGTTTTTTCTCGTTGTGCACCACAGTCTACTGAAAGAATCGTACTGCTGAATGGTGAAGTGGAAAAAATAATTGACTGTATCAACATCATAATCGATGTATTGAAGGAGGTAATGTATTAAATCTTTGATCAGATTTCAGTTGTCGAGAGCTTCTTGACCTCTTAATAAACATTAAATACCCTTATTATAAATGTTATATTTATATGTGCTTGGAAAAAGATCTATAATGTCAATTTTGTGACTTTTAGATCCCAATAAAGGGACCTGTTCGGCCATACGATCCAATGTATTATGATCCAGACATCATTAGCGATTATGGTGGATATGTTCCTGATCGAAATTTTATTTCACGTGTAGGTCGAGGAAGAGATTATGGATTTGGCGGTAGTGTGATTCCCTCACGATATCCCGGAAGAGATGATCGTTATAGTGGAATGAGGGATATGATAGGACGCTATTCACCTATTCCAGCTATGCAGACCACACAGGTGGAAACAACTGACGTAACATGATTTCTTAAGATTTATTTTTTCAAAATATAATACGCTTAATTTTTTTTTTTTGCAAAACCGATATTGTTAGAAGTCTTGTTCTTCGTCTCAATATTTGCAGTCAATAGCGGTCAGCTGATTTTGCCATATTGACTCCTTATCTTTTCCTCTGATTTAGCCTGACGCAAACTGATTCATTATGGACCACATAATTTATTCTTCCATCTTATATCGGTATTGCAGAATCAGCTGTTATATACCATATACCTTACCATATTTTTTGATAGATTTGGAAAAATGTCTGAAAGTAAGAATGTTAAATTTTCAAGTTCCCATGCTCAAGTTCCATGGGAATTTGCTGTTGTGAGGTTTGTATTCGTATCCTTATTCTTTGTCATATAATATTTAGGTTACAATCCCGGATGAATTGGGAGGCGCCATAATAGGTAAAGGTGGTTCACGGATCAATCGAGTGCGTGAAGAATCGGGAGCGCAGATCGAAGTTGAGCCCCATCGTGACAATGGTGGTGACCGCATCATAACAATTTCTGGTACTCGAGAACAAATTCAAGCAGCACAATATCTGCTACAACAATGGTTAACGAAATTTTCGTTCCTTTCTTTTTTTCCAATGTTTTAAAGAGGGCAGTAAGGTGCGGCATAGTTAACAGTTTTATTTGTTGTTGGCCCAATTCCTAAATTATATGGTTAGTGCAAACTTTTTGTTTATCAAATTTCTGAACTGTTCATATGTAATGTGTAGTATATTAATATTGAAATCTCTTCAAAGCTTAGCAGATCTACTTTTATCTGCGAAAGCATAAACCTTTGTCTGTGTGATCATTTTGAAAAAGGCTTTAAGAACGTTTACAAATAACTGTTCAGGGAAGTGGAAAGAGAAGAGCTAGTTCAATTATTATGTAACTGTAGCAAATTTCAGATGACCTTTGGAATATTCTTTCATTTTTCGCAGCATTGATTCATATATTTTGTACTGTTTTATATATTACCATTATTTCAGTGTTCGTACATCGGAAGCTGGAAGACGTTATTTAAGTGAGCACTAAGTGGAGCAGACAGTCAAAAGCTTTTATTGACCTGTTTTTAATAAATATTTTGTCATTTGCTTGTTATTTTCATTTATAAACCTATTGGTTTTTTGGCCATTTTGAAATAGACTGTCACACTTATTATTGTGTTGCCTTTTTTAAATGCATGCTTTGTGATTTGTATCATGTGTGTGATCTCCTTGCATTCATGTCCAATAAAATAAATCTCATTCCAATTGTCCTCTTCAACTGAAGTGTCACTGCACCTTTAGAATATATGCCGACATACAAAGGAACCACCTTATCGTTTAGTCCCAACTCTTAGGAAAAAATTTTTGTTGTGTCATCGTAAGATTTGTTTACGGCGCTTTTTACTGTGACCCGCGCAGGTTTTCGTGCGTGTGACCACAATGAGTGATGCTTATTTTTTTATTACTGAATTGAAAACAGGGAATTTAATTGTCGGATCAGTTTTGTTTCTCTGCTTCATACTGTTGTGGCGTAAGCAAGGATGATATGCAGGTCGTAATTATTGCTTCGGTATATTCGTTCTATTTCTTGCAGGATGAGTCTGGAAACGGTTAAGATCTTATCTAGTGAATCTGAGTTGGTTTAATTTGAAGTTCCAATTTAGAGAAGAATGGGAAGTAATTTGGTCCGTTGTGTCTGCAGGTGATTGAAGTTAGGATTAGGGACATGTAATGTTTGCTGGGGATGTCAAAGTGATGTAAACTTTTTTCCACGCTGTAGATGTGTAATCAAGTATCATCTAATAGCATAATTAAGGGGAATGTTACTGTTGCAAATAGTGATTAAACGTGGGACTTAGTGGATTTGATAGGTTTTATAAAGCAGGAGATATAAAACGATGTTAAGCTTGTTGACAGCAGGTAAAGTGTCTTCCATCGATTTCTGGTCGCTACCATGACACGACCACGTCATAGTCTGGACCTATTTTCTCTACTGGTCATCTTTAGATTTCTTTCAAATAAAATTGTGACATGAATTGCGATAATGTTCTTGACCAAGTTCCTAATCTTATTTTTCTAGTAACTATGTTTATGATTTATGATTGATCCTTGAAAATATCAGTCCTTTGAGTTCGTTGTGTCTTATTTATTTAAACTGGAATTCATCGGAAAAACGTTTTATTAATTGCAAAGAATCATTAACATTGTTTTCTGAATCCAAGATGTACTCAGTATAATTAGCTTTCCGTCGTTTCGTGAGTAACTTTAATCATATGAGTGACCTGGGGTGTAGCTTATCGTTTTTTTTTTTTGCTCAGGTTGTCTGAAAACAATCCTCATCACAAGTCGACAGTTGCATGAAGGGAGCAGGTGTGCAGCGTACAAAAAGTGGCACTACCAGTGATGATTCAATTCTTCATCCAGAGATGTGGTGGGGGCAGTCTTTTACAGGTTTTTCTATTCGTTATGTATTACAGTTATACTATTTGCAAACATTACCAAACCTTTGATTGGGTCTTTTCGGATGTTTGAAATCGAATTGATATTGGAAGAGATAAGTGTTTTAAGTGTTTTGCGCTGATATCGATTTTGTTTACTTGGAAATAAATCTTCACCTTGGAATAATTTCAATCATCCTTCTAATCAAGCGTTTATGTTGCAACATGTTTTTATTCCATTTGTTGCATCTCAGAGCTGCCATGCTTGCAAATGATTCTTTTTTAGAGCAAGAAGTATCTCCTACAAAATATGTTTATAACTATTCACAAATGGATGAAAATCATCAAAGGACTCCAATGTGTCGCATTGCAGAGCTCGCTCGCTATAATAAAGTTAGTTTCTATTATTAACAAGCTTCATGTTTTGTAACTTCCAACTACGAGAATAAGAGGTGATTCTAAGATTAAACGAGACATCGATCAAGGCCAATTGTCGCATCATATATTTCCCAGAATGAGTCGTGCCGATTAACTGATTCCAACTGTTTTTGTAAATTATAATTAATGAGGACGCATTAGTATTAGAAAACTAATTCAGATCAGGCATGAGTACAAACTCATGGACGAAAGTGGACCAGCTCACAAGAAGCAGTTCACCGTTTCACTTGTACTTACCCCTGATCAGGCAAGTGTTTTCGTTGTGTAATTTAGCTGTTTTGTATAGTACTTGGTTATTTTTGTGTAGTATTTGATTATTATTGCATGGTACTTGATTGTCTATTTATGCCATTTCTTGCTTTTCTATGTTGTAGAAATGTTATAGGTGTTTTACGGCAAGGGAGCGTCCATTAAGAAAGCTCAGCAGTCCGCTGCTGAAACTGCCTTGAATGGAACCATTTTACCGAAGCCACCAGATAAGATTCCTTCAAAAAAAATCAAAAGTGGTAAGATTAGCACTTATTAGATGGATGCTAGTTCGTACGTTGCGTAATGCTAAGAGTTATTTTGTATTTTTCATATTCCTTTATTTATCGATTAAAATAATCGTAAATTGAATAAGACGTGATTTAGTTATTGTTATTCTTGTAAGAATAACTATGAGAACCAATTGTTGAATAATCAAGCTTCTTATATGAAAGTATTCCTCTACCGTTTTATAAAATATCCGGACATAAATTCCCGTATCTTTTGTCGATTTTAATACTTTTAAATAGACTGGGTGGAAAACTGTTCGCTTTTGTTTCAGATTTTCAAAATCCAGTAGTCTTACTCAAATATGTCGCAGGACGGCTTGGAGTTGAAATTAAATTCATTGACGAAGTAGTGCCGATATGCCCATCACCACAACATCCCATAACCCGTTTGCCAATGCAGTTAGTTATCCAGTTGTTTCATTATGACGTGCTGGAGTTTCTGGATTTTTTGCTTTAGTTGATTATAAGTCTCTTAAGCCGTAATTTCTCAAAACTGGAAATAAATTTCAAAACTTTCTTGAATATTAAGCAAACTAACTACACAGTTTTCATCTATAGAACTCCCGTTATAGAAGTGACTGTATTTCTTTTTTCTGTATTCTTAGCAGCTACTCTAAAACTAATTGCAGGCCACTAATAAGAACTCCCTTCATCCCAGTAATTAACGAACAGTTCTTGGTTTTTCCACCGCCTAGAGTATTATTTGGACAACCACGTGTTCCTGCAGCATTGCAACCGGTACCAGTTAT